TGCATAACTTTATAGCAACACACAGAACAACTGAGGCATCCAGCTCAAGTGATATTGGTAGAAGGAATTATTTACATGTTGTAGACCACTCCAATAGAATATGGAAGACTTTGAAGAGATGGTGAGGGAGCATTGCAGCTGTTCTGGTGATGGTCCAATAAATCAAATCAGGTTTAGTGTGACTTGGGCAAATGTCAACCAACACCCGCGAGGATGGCTGTACTGCATAACTTTGTAGCAACACACAGAACAACTGAGGCATCCAACTCAAGTGATATTAATAGAAGAAATTATTTACATGTTGTAGACCACTCTGATAGAATATGGAAGACTTTAAAAAGATGGTGAGGGAGCATTGCAGCCATTCTGGTGATGGTTCAATAAATTGAATTGGAGTTAGCATGACTTGGGCAAATGTCAATCAACACCTGTGAGGACAGCTGTACTGCATACAACCAGCTGGTGAGAAAGTTACAAGTGTAACTGATGTTCTGACAATGGTCTGATAAATTGAATTTGGGTTAGACATGGCTTCCAGTGATGAGAATAGTCATACAACATGAAAATCTGGTGTATTATAACTAGAAGACCAGTACTATTCAACAGACTCTTGTAAATTAAGAGGGTTAGCACCAGCACAGGATTTTTTGGAGAAATATGGCTCAAATGAAGTTCCTGTGTCAACACTGGAGGCTCTCTTGCACTTCTGCTGGCTGGACAGTAAGGTGGTGGCATTTTCACTCAGCTGTTGTTCAGCTGTCAGAGACACTGGCTGAGCACTAGGTGGTTCTGAGACTGAAATCATGCTATACTGCTCAGATTAAATTGCTGTGTCAATACTGGAGACTCTCTTGTGCTTCTGCTAGCTGGACAGTATGCCAACAGCATCTTCACTCAGCTGTTGTTCAGCTGTTGGAGACACTGGCTGAGCACTAGATGGTTCTGAGACTGGAATTGTGCTATACAGCTCAGATGAAGTTGCTGTGTCAACACTGGAGGCTCTCTTGTGCTTCTGCTGGCTGGACAGTATGGTGGTGGCATTTTCACTCAGCTGTTGTTCAGCTGTCAGGGACACTGACTGAGCACTAGATGATTCTGAGATTGAAATTATGCTCTCTGCATTTGCCTGAAGCAGATTCAGATCTGTGCAATGTTGCTGGTCAAGTTCAGCAAATGATTCTTCTGCATTTCTCAATGGCTTAAGGAAAGTTAGTCACCAAATAGCTGATCTTGCTGCATGATAGACTTTGCATCTCTTTTGCTCTGGAATAAATGATGAATTTTGCCTCATGGAAGTAGATGACTGAGGATGTGTTTGAGACAATGACTTGAAGTCAGGTTCAGAGCTAGAACAGTTGTGTATCTTATTATTGAAGCTATCCTCACTCTCAGAACTCTCATTACCAATAACAAGTTCTTCATCACTGAATATTTCAATTGGATTCCATACACTTCCAAGAGCCTTTGCCTGATATAAGTGTTCTTCTAGTTGGAATAGATGCTGAAATTCGCAGACCATGATCATGCACACATGTGTATGCCATTTCTTGACATAGGACCAGACAGCTTCATGGTCAGTATTGAGAAGAAATGCAGTATGTTGCTTCACATCAGGATCACTCCAAAGTTTGATTCCCATAATGGCACCACCAACAGGATCTAGTGCAGGAATTGAAAAGGCTGAAGGAAAATGCTGATAGTTCCAATTCTCATATATATCTGAATGTTGTGGGTAAAGATGTTTCTTAGGTCTGCTGAGAGTTCACAACATTTTCAGATATGAAGACAGACTTTCAAGATGAGCTGGTTGCATTGATGATTCTGAGAATGAAACCAGAGACACAGTAACACATTGACATGGTTTGGTTTCAGTGGTATCATGAGGAAGGAGAGAGTGCATGACCTGAATTGATGCTGATTTCAATGGTGTCATGATCAGTTTCAATTTATTATTGGCAGTTTTTGAAGTAAAGAAGATAAAATCAGTGTTCTCATAAATTTTGTATTCATCAAAAACTGTGCCCAGATGTGTTTTGAGGTGGGTTTCAAATTTCTTTGAAAGTAAATGTGCACCTGGAACAAGAATATCACAATTTTCAACATCATCAACACCCATGATAGTAACAATTCACAAGCTCTGAACATTCTCAACCAATGAAGAAAGCTGCATTCCTTCTGCTCCACAAATGGTAAGACTGACATTGTCAGTAGTTGCATCAATGGCAGTTACAGGCTCAGGGTAGTACAACAGATTTGTGGTGTGGTCAGCTTGGAGACACATATTAAGGAGATACAGTATTGGATCCTGAGCAAGAATCTGCTGTGTGATTGAGTACAGCATTGGAGCAATCCATGGTGAAGTCATTCCACCATGAAGATCAGCATGGTGCTGGCAGTGATGGAGATACATCTGAATCTCACATTCAGCAAATGCTGATAACCCATCAGTTCCTGCGTCCCACCAATCCAATAGACTGACAACATCAATAAATCCCTGGTTTTTAAAGTCACCAGAAAAGTCTTGCTCTTTCACACCACACTGAACAGCAAGATCTCCCAGAATGTGTTCATATGGTGTTTCAGGTCTGGTTAGTTCACAGGCCTTGAATTGGTATGAAAGCAATATATTTGTTGCTTGTGGTTGTCAGGCATTTGAAGTTGCCAATCCAACATCAAGCTCACTATTCTGCTGTCTCACATCACACAGTGGAGTGTCAGATGCTTGTTGTGAACAAAGCTTGGGATTCTCAGCTTGCTGATTTTGTGTTGCTGAAATCTGATTATTTCCTCTTCTTTCATTTTGAGAACTAACTTGTGTCAGCAAGTTGTTCTGGGTTGCTGGCAATGCTTCATTCTCTGACATAGAGAGTCTTGACTGAACAACACTCTCATAGATTCTAGATGTCTTTGACTCTGCACCAACAACTGGAGATTCTGCTTCAGATTCTGTGGGTTGATTCTGGAATGCACTATTGTGTTGTGTTGGGCTGCTGTTGGACAGTAGTTGAACAGATGGTCTAGATCCATCATCTGATGGTGGGATGCTGATTGGTTCAAGTTTTTGCAAAAGCCCATCTGCATTGAGAAAGCACTCAATTTCATGAATCTGATCAGATGTCAATGGTATGTATGGCTCTTTGTTGTCTCAAACTCTACACAGATCTGAAAACACAATTTGAGGAGTTGCAGACTGCCCAATTGAAGAATGACTCAAGTGCCAGTGCACTGCATTTGCAATGCAACCCATGTCTTCACTATAACTGTATTGATCAGCAATCTGACCAAGCACATGGTTGAACTGGTTGGTCTGACTTAAACCAAGTGCAACTTCTGCCTGTTCACCCCAACAGTTTTGAATCTTCTCACAGGCTTTTTTGTATTTAAACCAATTTGACTTTGCTGTCTGAGCACATATCTCAATTGCTGACCATGTGTACTTGTATTCCTGTGACTGTGTAAACTTAATCCAGTCTTTATCATCCTGGAAATATTGATATGCTTCAAGAACAAACTCATCAATACTCTGTTCCAGTTGGTTCATGAGAAGACCAGTTTCAGTCTGCAAGATCTGATACTCAGCATCAGACAGTTTCACTCACTGCTCCCTTAGGAATGGGACTATGTCTTGAAATAATGGGAAAGATTTTCCTCCTAGCAGAATGTTGTTTACTGTTAAATCAACAGGGACAACTGCATGGGTATCCAGTGAGTTTTGGTCTAGAGATGAATTCATGACTTTCTGTGGGAGCTATGCAAAAAAGCACAATAGACATGAAATGTTAGCAAAATATACTTGAACATTAGAATATAATACCTTACTGACATTGGACAAATAATATTGTTCACAGATGGAGAGAAGCTTGAAAGAATTATTTGAGCACAACAGCAATTTATTGAAATACAAACAATAATGGAAGATGTTTATTGATGAAACTGAAATGACACAATAAGAATTAATCTTTTGATGTATCTGTCTATCACATGATCTCAGAGCAAAGGGCATCAAGATCCAACTTCACATGATGAAGTTAATCATGTATTCAGGTACATGAAGGCTAATTCTCCCCAATCTTATGTAATTCTTGATCACTCCAACCTTTTCCTATAACTAATTTGTTTTGGTCTCATCTTCTTCAACTCACACTTGATTCACCCTCTCCATTCTTTTTAATGATCTCAGTGCAGTCATGCCATCTACATGATTATCTTTACAGCTGGTTGCAGCTTAAGCCTTGGACAATGCCCGCACAAGCTGTCTGAAAATCACATCTGCAGTGTACAGCAGGAGGCAGCAGAAATGGAGGGTGAGTGCACTCATTTGATGTGGTTCAATACTCAGGCAGGCTGGCTGACCTTCTAGTGTACAAATATAGAAATGTTGCAAAGCTGAAAGCATTTCCAGATGGTGAGATTGTCACCAGGCAGAAGACATGTCTTTCCCTCACACAGAAGATGCTCAGCTGCAGCATATAAAGCAATGTCAAGCTGCATACTGCCTGATCTGTTGATCATTCTTCTGAAGAATGAAAGACCAACACTCTGCAATCTCATGGTGCTGATTGTGGACAATGGCAAGATGAATGCATTTGGAAAAACAAGTCTCAAGATCAATCTCTAGATGTTGTAGATCTGAATCTTTATTATCCAGTCTCTCATGCTAACTATACATTGCATTCTAATCTATGCTCTGAAGAGCCTCCTCTGCAGCCTCTGCAATTCTCACAACAGCTTCAATATCTCCCATCCTCTCACAATCATATTCTCCTTCCTGCTGTCTCTTTCCTCTTCTTCCCCCCCTCAATACCTTCATAACTGGTCTTTTCAGCATATTCCACTGCCACTATGTCCAGGACAGTGGCCAGAACAGATGAGGCTTTTGCAGCTGCAATGACTGCTGTCTGACTTATTTTCAAGAAGGCTGCAAGGATCTGTTGCATCTCAGCATGAGCTGTTGCTGTCATTGTTGCTGCCTGTATGACAGTGAACATCTTTTGGGCCACTCATTTCTTCTGCTCTAATCTCTTTGTCTTTTTGACAGTTGAATTTTCAGCCTCCATGGGCTTCTTGATGTCAGTGTTGTTGGTGGTGGTGGTGGTGGTTGTAGCAGCCTTGCTGCACTTTCTCTTCTTTGCATCTACAGTCACAAACAGTTAGCTAACATGTCTTTTCAGTCTGCAGGCCTCACTTACCTGGACAAAACAAACAACAATATCCACTACTATTGTAGTAGCAATTGGTGCATGCACCTTTGAGGTGTCTGGGGACAAGAACACAGTCTGTAAACAGACTGAAGCCCTCATCACAGTGCTTGCAGCTCAGGTTTTGCATAACCCCATGAGACTGCACCAGCACATTCTCACAGTTCCCCATTTGCTCCAGGGAGACCTCTAAGTCCTCTTGAAGAACCAGATTGTTGACATACAGGAGGGCAAGAATGTCTGTAAAGGTCTTGTAGGGCTTCTCAGGCATCTTCTCAGCATCATAAACAAGATGGTTCATTAATTCAATCATTATTATGGGCTGTAAAATTGCTGATTGATAGCTGTAGGGTCTCAGTAAGTGGTTTGATTTTCTGCATATCTACCATTCTACAAATTCCCACCTTTTCATATAAGTTCTTACAGTCTATACCACATTGCTGAATGGGTATTTCTAGTTGTTGAGCTTTGTATGTTAAATAGAATCTGCCTTTTTACTACTGGCAGTTCCTGCATTGATTGTAAAATCTCAATAGAGAGTGCAGATTTCAATATATGGAGCATCTCACTTTACAGTGCAATTCACTATACCAATTCACCCTACTGAGCACCTCATGTTAAGGTGCAATTCAATATACAAATTCACTTTACAGAGATCTCACTTTACAGCACAATTCACTATACCAATTCACCCTACCAAGCACCTCATGTTAAGGTGCAACTCAATATACAAATTCACTTTACAGTGCAATTCACTGCACTAATTCACCCTACCAAGCACCTCATGTTAAGGTGCAATTTGATATATGAATTCACTTTATGGAGATTTCACTTTATGGAGATTTCACTTTACAGTGCAATTCACTACACTAATTCACCCTACCAAGCGCCCCATGTTAAGGTGCAATTCAGTATATGAATTCACTTTACAGAGCACCTCACTTTATGGTGTGATTCACTATATAAAATCAACCATACTGAGCAGATCACAAGGGGGGGTTTAGTGCTCACCTGGGGAGTCTGAAAAGCTATATAAATCCTCCTCTCCCCCCAGCTTTTCCCTTTCTCTTTCCTTCCATCTGCCAGCTTGATCTTGAGCTGGCACACTGCAGAGCCCAATACTCTCACTATGAATAGCATGAGCAGAACTCTAGATAGGCAGTGTTCCAACTCCCTTCAAACACTGAAAACAGTTACTCATCTTGCAGACTAGCAATGACACCCATAGCCATTCTCAGACTTATTTTCTAGTCAACACTGTCAGTCCTTCTTAGATTCTACAGATCATTCAAGTTATGCTCAATGACTTCAGAGTATGCTTCCACAAGATCTCACATCTTCTGGTCAGACAACAGCCACCACTGCTTCAGCACCAAGCCATAATGCTGTGCATAACACCTTGTTTCTTCTTTACAAAGTGGAAAAGAAGAAACAGCATCAGCTGTGCTAGACACTAGCAATCCCATGACATATTCACAAGATCATAATATTGAGCAAGTAAACAACTTTCATAAGTCTGATTCAAAGTGAAAACAATCTTTGTATGAAATCCTCCTGCTTCTTCTTTTAAAGACTTGCTCTAATTATCTTTGACTAGGTCTTTGGATCCAATATCAATGGAACACAGGAATAAAAAAGAGGCGCAAGAAAAGCCAAAGAATACTCACAAAAAGAGAGGCTGATCTCAAAAAACACTTTCTACTGAAAACTGCAAGAGCTGAACCTTTGGGTGGTGCTTGCACCTTCCTGGCTCATACTACATCAAATACAGAAACTGCAACTGAATTGGTGTTAAACATTAAAAATCATGGACAAGAACAACCTTCCAGAATTTCTACAATCTTGAGCTTAAATCAAACTCACAGTTCTTAAACAATACATTGAGAAGATCTTAGAAAAAGATTGAATTCAACACTCAAGTCACCTGTCAGTGCTGCAATATCTCCCACAGCAATTCACTCAGACAACAGGACTCAAATAGCTCCTCCATCTATACTTCCCCAGCTTGCAGGTTATTCAGCACTGCTACACCAGAATGCACCTGCCACATCTCAGAATCCAAACCAACTGGACCTCTTCCAGAGTCCATCAACAGGTGGATCACACTCTACAACTCTCTTAACTCTCCCTCAGCCACCTCAAATGGTTAATCTACCACTGCCAAACTCTTCCACAACTCCACTCTCTCCTGCAGCTCTAGCCCCAGATGCTGGACCCCATTCTAGATTATTTTCTTCTCTTCCACCCATCACAAGACTCATTTCTTTTCCACCTAAAGGCTAAAACCCATTCAGTAATGGCCCTCAATTCAACTTGTCAAAAATGGTATTATATCAAGCTCCAGCCAGGCAAGCACAAGCACCACCAAATTGGCATATTACATTCTTGTCTTTTAATTCCAACCAATCCTTAGCCAACATAGAGTTGGTTGATGAAGGATATATGAGAATACATTAATCCCACAAATGATAACCATCCTACACTGGATCCTCCCAATGAGAAGATGAACACAAACATATCTATGGTCATTCTCCAAACTTATACACCTCAATGAAGGATATATCAGAATACATTAATATCACAAATCATAACCCTCCTACACTAGACTCTCCCAATGGGGAGATAAATGCAAACATATCTACAGTTGTTTCCCAAACTTATACACAAACTTATACACCCTGATAAAAGATATATTAGAATACATCAATACCACAAATTATAACTCCTCTACAATGAACCCTTCCAATAAGGGGATCAACACAAACATTGACAGAATACAGGCGCAAATGGTTTTAATGTGCATGAGAAGAGAAGAAAACACCTACTGCTGGTAATCTAGTGGTTGCACTGGTTCAGGCCATAGAAACATCTTAAATATGATTCTAGAGAGCTGACCTGTTGCGGGAATGTATGCAAAAGTCAAGGGTGTGAAGTGAAGCACAACTAAATTCAATTGCAGAGTTTGAACCTTTCAGCCACTGTGGAAGTCACATTGAATGCTCTTAGATTTGCAAAATCTCTATGCAAAGAAAGTTGCCTCAATCAATGGACCTCCAGTCCATATTGCATTTAATGACAATTCCCACATTGTGGACTTTAATTTTGAATTTATAAGCAATTACAAGATGCAGGAAGGTGTTTATCCCACTGATTCCAACTTCCACACAGGCTGTGACTGTGTTGATGCAAAGTGCAACTTAAGCAGGTGCCCATGCCTTTCACAGGAGGAAGACTTCTGGAAATGAATCATATCTTACAGAGTTGGCAATGCTGGTGTCATTATTTTGTGTGACAATTTCATGCAACAAAAGTCAACAATCTATGAATGCTCTCCATTGTGTAATTGTGGCTGGAATTGTATGAACAAGATTGTTGAGCAAGGAAGAACTGTTCACCTTGAAATATTTCAAATCTGAAATTGAGGATTTCATATGCACAATCATGGAGATGGGTATACCAACATTAATGCCAACATTACATGGCCAACTATAGAACTAAGATTGGTGGATTTCATTCAGGCTGGTCAATACATTGACTGCCATCTTGGTGAAGCAGTGACAAAAGTCAAGGCTGACAGCTGTGAAGCTGCCACTTCAAATAATGGAGTGAGCTACTTATTTTCACTAGACTTTCTTGTGGATTGAGATGATGATGATATCTATGTTGTTGATGGGAGAAAATTTGGTTCCATTACAAGATTTATGAATCATTCTTGCAAGCCAAACTGTCAAATGTTTCCAGTTTTGATCAATGCCCAACCTGTGGCAACAACAAGATTGTTGAGCAAGGAAGAGCCATTCACCTTGAAATATTTCAAACCTGAAATTGAGGATTTTGTACACACAATTGCAGAAATGGATATATCAACATTAATGCCAACATTACATGGCCAACTATAGGACTAAGGTCGGCAGATTTCATCCAGGCTGGTCAATACATTGACTGCCACCTTGGTGAAGCAGTGACAAAAGTTGAGGCTGACAGCTGTGAAGCTGCCACCTCAAATAATAGAGTGAGCTACTTATTTTCACTAGACTTTCTTGTGGATTGGGATGGCAATGGTATCTATGTTGTTGATGGAAGAAAATTTGATTCTGTTACAAGGTTTATGAATCATTCTTGCAAGCCAAACTGCCAAATGTTTCCAGTTTCTCACAACCATGCTGATCAACACCCAACCTGTGGTAACAGAGCACAACAGTCCACACTTTTTACTTTGATGGGTGGAAGGTGATTTTCCACTTCTGCAAGATAAATGCTCCAATATGATACTGTTGTCTCTTGAATGGGGAAAGATGCCATGGACTGGCAAATGCTCTGTTTGGGGGTTGACAGCATAGCAGATTGGTTCCTAGAGAGCTGATTGTCTGAGATTCAATTGGATTGCACCTTTTTTTGTTCTGTTTGGAATTTCACTCAACCAGATTGCCATCTCCCCTTCAAGGAAGCATGCTACTGTACTATCTTATCTTTCATTCATGTTTCTACTTACTAGATAGATTATACAATTCACTATTTCTTCTATTTGGTTGTTCCTACTATTCCAACCTTCCAGTATGGAGGTGTTGGTTGTTCATACATTATTGCCATATGACTGGCACAATGAGATTCCACCACTGTACAAGATTGAGAGCACCCTATCTTCATCTTCCCAATTCCCTATGGTATTGTTTTCCTGTTGGGTTTGTTGTTGACGGGCATATATGATTGATCACCATTCTATCACGCCACTGCCACCCTTACTGAGGCACATATATTATGGGAGGGTGCCTTCCCAAGATTTGCCTGCTTCATTTTGGTGACCAAGCTGAGACATATTCTGGTGGTGCGGTGGGCGTGGTATTTGTGATGGATTGCTATGGCAAAGCAAGAGATTCTACAGCAAATCCTGCAGGATGAGTTTTGATTGCTTTTTCTCTTGCTATTCCATTTGATTGGCTGAAAGGATTTGGCTAAAGAATTTTGAGGTCTTATTTGGTGTGCCCCTTTTCTCATTATCAATGGTGGAGATGATGAGATTGCCCTCAGTCAATCTTGACAATATATGGCAGGGTGGGGATGTGACACTTTATCTGACAGATGAATGGTTTGCTCCATGTACAACAAGAATCAAACTCAGTGGCTTTGGTTTCAAGAATTCAAGCCATTGAATTCAACAGTGAGATTTGAATTTGATATTTTTCCAGAAAGCAAAAAAAATGGTTATGACAGTGACAACAAGAGGAGTTTAAATGAGTAGGCGGGCATTCAACCAGGAGAATGTTTGCAGGACAGGAGGATTTTCCTGAAAGCTGCTGTGGGGATGTGGAGGTGAAGATGAAGGCAGCACAGATGATGTTTGATTCAGTTGACAGTGATTATAATGATTATGAGAAAGAGGAGGAATTTGATGAATTTGATTGTGACAGAGATTCAGTGGTAGAATCTGTTTCCCATGCCTGGAAGGAGGACTATGGTGAAGATGTTGAAGGCTTCAAAGACTTGAAATTGAATGAATTTGCAGAATTTTTGAAAGAATCATTGGAAAAATTGTTGGAAGAACCTGACTATGCACTAACCCAAAGGGGATAAACCATCAAGATGGTCAGCTGAACCCACCCTGACCAATTGAAACATGAGAAAGTTGATGGTGTTGAGTTTATCTGAAGGTTTTTTCCATTCTTGACAGCAGGAACTCACAGCAAAAGCCATCTCAGCCATGTATCAAAGAATGTTTATGGTGCCATTTCCAAGCAATCAGATTCTTTTCAAGTCTCAAGAAGGTCCCATAGGACTGACCTGTTCAATAATGATTGGAATACAGATTCTCAAAAGACTGATCCTTGCTCAGAGGGTTTCATGAAGGCCATTTTCAAAGGCATCAAGTATAAATGTGTTGCTGACAGAGTTAAACTGCTGACTCCAGATGAATCTGATGGTTCAAAGCCCAAAGAGCTTGCAAATTGGGTTGAGGTTTGTTTGGAGAGGCATCACCCTGAATCTTTGTGAATTGAATACAGGACTGAGTTCAACTGATGGCTGAAGCTCTGGATTTTGTTGATTTCTTTTGGATCATGACTGACAAATGAAAGAATTGAGAAGATGGATGTTGGCAAACAGCTTTGGCTGAAGGGGAGAGAATTGCTTCTTGCTATGCTATATAAACACAAAGATGTGTTGGCATGGTCTTTCAAGAATATGAGTTGTGTTCAACCAGAGATTTTTCCTTCTAAAGAAATTTGAATGGTTCTGCATAATGCATGGAAGACTAAGATGTGTCAAATCCCTCATGCCCTTCAAAAGCAGTTTATTGACATTATTAATGATTCTGTCAAAGCAGGAACCTTAGAGCCTAGCCATGGCCCCCATTCAAATCCTTATTTCCTCATTGAGAAAAAGAAGAAGGGGATGTGTTGTTTTGTTGATGCAGCTCAGCACTGCAATGTGATTGTGATTCATGATGTGTTTATTCCTCTGAATTGTGATGAATTTGCTGAAGAATTTGCAGGAATGGCAATTGCCTCACTTGTTGATCTTTTCTCCAGATATGACAATTCTTTGTTGGCTGAAGAAAGCAGGAATATGACAGCATTCAACACCCCAATCAGTTCCTACCAGCAAACTGCTTTGGTTCAAGGGGCTATGAATTCACCCGCTCAAGCTCAGTGTGGGATTGCAGCCATATTGAACAGTGGCATCATTCCTTCCTGAGGTTGTGCTTACACCAATGATATAGAAGTTAAAGGTCTGAGATCAACATATGGTGGTGAGGGGATAATTCCCAGAGTTCAAAGATTTGTGTTGGGGCACATCATCAATCTTGACCATGTGCTGTATTGAGTTGAGGTTGCTGATGCCAGGGTCACTGGAGGCAAGTCACAACAGTGTATAAAAGACACAGGTGTGGTAGGTTGGGTGTGTTCATACAATGAAAGCAGTTCAGATGCAGAGAAGATTGAGAAAACTGTAAGTTGGCCAACTTCTACAGGGACTGCTGAACTTCATGAATTTCTAGAATTGGCTGAATATTTTCAGATTCTTATTGAGAGATACAGATGGATTGCAGAGCTGTTGTATGGTCTTCTTCAAAGAAATGTGACTTGGGATTGAATCCTACAAACACAAAGAGATGTTCAATACTTTAAAGGCCAAGCTTGCATCCCATCTCTCAGTTCTGCCAATTAATCACAAGAAATCACCTTTGATTATTATTATAGCCATTGACACTAGTCTTATAGACTACAGCAGGTGCCTCATGCAAATCCAATGTGGAGCTCAACACCCTGCTCAATATGAATCTGGTGTTTGGGGCGATCCTGAGAAGAAATATGATGCTGGTAAATGTGAGTGCAGAGTTGTTTTAAAAACCCTTAAGAAGTTTTGATGTTGGGTCTATGGAATACATTTCACACTTGAAGTGGATGCAAAGACCTTGGTTGCTCAATTGAATTGTACCACTACAGATGTTCCTGGAGCCATGGTGAACCAATGAATTGCCTGAATTTGGTTATTCACCATCAAGCACATTCCCAGAAAGAAGACATGTCTATTGCTGATGAATTGTCATGATGAGATCTAGCTGGTGATGAACTTCCTGAATGGGAGGGCCCTGACAAGGAGGATTTATTCTCTAAGTGCCACACAGCAATGGTTCATGATGTTGCTGAAACACCAAGAATTCTGGATTCAACATATTTGGAAGAATTGGAGCAAATAGCATTCTACCTAACAACCTTGACAAAACCTAAGGACATGGCCTTCAAGGATTGTTACCATTTCCAGCAGAAAGCAACCAAGTTTGTTGTTGAAGATGATCTGCTATTTTGATGTGCTGGATTCAGTGTTCCCCTTCAACACATTGTTGATGGTAAGGAAATTTGAGAGAAGATAATGCATGACATGCATCATGAACTGGGCCATAAAGGACATGAAGGAACATATTCTGCTGTTGCAGCTCAGTGCTGATGACCTGGTATTTATAGAGACATGTCAGCATATGTCAAATCTTGCAATGGTTGTCAACTTTGAGCATCTCAATGAATTAATGAGAAATTGCACCCCACTTGGACCCCTACTGTTTGGAAACACATTGGTGTCAATATCAAGCATATGCTCTCTTGCCATGGACAAAATTATTTGGTTGTTGCTCAGAATGATCTGTTGAATTGAATTGAAGCTTGTGCATTGAAGAAAGTGACTGTGGAAGCTGTGACTCAATTTTTATATGAGGATGTCACCTGCTGATGGGGAATGCCTAAGAAATTTGTTATGGACAGTGAAACCTGGAGAATAAGAAAGTCATAGAAATACTGGCTAAGAAATATCATATTGATCAGATTATTATTTCAGCATATAATACTAAGACAAATGGTCAAATTGAAGCAGGCCATAAAACCATTGGAGATGAGCTTGCTAAGGCCACCCATGGAACTGAAAAGAATTAACTCAAACACCTACCTGCAATTCTTATGGCTGATTGAATGACTGTTAAAAGTACTACCAGAATGACACTCTATCAGATGATGATGAGTCAGAAAGCCATTTTGTCCATTGAACTCAAAGTTCCTACCTGACAGACCCTTCCCTGGAGAACTGTTCAAATGACTGAGAACTTGCTCACATTGCATGCAAGGCAAATTGAACAACATGATGGGGATATTGAGGAGGCAGTTCTGCACAGGAAATGAATGCAGTTGGTCAATGAAGAATGTTTTGATGACAATAAACAGATTCAGTCAAAACCTTTGAAAGTTGGTGATATTGTGCTTGTGCATAATACAAAGAATGAATGAGATATGTCAAGAAGCAAGACTCTTCAATTTTGATGACTTGGTCTGTATTGTGTTAAGATTGCACATCATGATAAAGAGCTCTATCAGCTTGAAGAATTGAACAGCACTGAATTCAAAGATTCTTTTGCAGAGAATTGATTTAAGAAGTGCTATACAAGAGAAGAGGTGTTAGCCATCAAAGCTTGTGTTAATGAGAGTGAGGAAAAGAATAGTAGAGTGAGAACAAAAAGCATGAGCAATGTAGCTGTGAACTTACAGAATGAGTCATCTTCCCATGTCAGAGAGGATAGCTCTGAGGAGAATGATGGTGATGTTATCATGTCTTCAAATAATTCACCCATCTCTTCCCCTTCTTCCTCTTCTGATACAAATGCTGAAGATGAGCAGAATGATGGTGACTCTTTGTCAAGTTTGTCAAGCAGTGGAATTCCTGAAGGACAAAGATTTGCTGTGATAATTTGTAAGAATTCTTGTTTGTGAGGTCTTTGTTTGCAGCACATTCCCTTTACAATGACCCCCATTATGTATGGTGATTGGTGTGACAGATGAAGTATTCAAGTGAAGTTGATGGCATTTGCCTGCCTCATTTCTTTTGTTAAAAGAATTTCCTATATTATAAAAGCATATTGATGCCTTTTGCCATTCTTTTTTTTCCTTCCTGTTCCAACTCATGATTCTTCTACATTTGAGATTTGAGAAAACACCACCTTTACACCTCTCTGTATACCCTCTCTGTATACCTTTTCCTTATTATTTTCAAAACACCCATGCTGTATCAAAATGGACCCAAGCAGTTGTGCTAGCCCCCCCCCTCAGTTGACCATCACACCTCAAGCAAGCCATATGGCAACTCCTGGAAATGCCACTGTTACCATTGGGAGTATGTGTTTTCCAAATATTCAAGAAGCTATTCAATATATTGAGTTTTGCCTGTTGCAAGAACATTATTTCCTACAAAGCCAACTTATGGAAGAGCCTATGTCCACCCACAATCTACTGGAAGATATAGTCATCAACTTCTATGGCTACATCAACTGATTGCAAGCTTGAACACATGTAGACCAACATTAATTTGAAAGTGACTTCAATGTGTCTTGGAAAGTTGCTCAACAAGTGCAGAAAAAGCAAAGAGACATTGCAAGTATCAAGAACAGGCTTGTGAACAAATGGGGAAATGATTGAATTGATGCTCTTTGGAAGCATGTTGACACATTGTGGATGGCTCAATGAACTAGACAGACACTAAATTGTTACAATGACTGGAACACATTTGTTCACCAGATCAATGTCAGCATGTATCAACACATTACCACTGAAGGGGCTGGACATCAAAGAACACATGCAGTTCTACCAGAAGATGTTAATTTTGCACATGACAATGTCAATAATGATTTCTACAACATATCTAGTCAACAAGATATTAGAAGAAACAGACTGGAAGCAGGACTGCAAGGGATCCTACAGCAACTTATTCTATTCCATTCAAGTATGTCAATGAGATCTATTAACCAAACATTGAATAGTCCTCATTCACCACAAGCATCACATAGCCAGATAGGCAGTCCTGTTGAAAGCCCACAAATGACAAGTCCATGATCCATTATCATGAGTGGAACTGGTGGAACACACAGTCAGAATGTTAGTATCCCCTCACAGCATAGCAATATGCCCATATGTCAATGAACAATGTCTGGAAGTTCCTCCAGTAGGCCAGCTGCAAGCATCACTAGACAGTCTCAAAGAATTGCTGCCATTGCACACCAGCAAGAAGATGACAATGAAGACATTGAGTCAGTTCTACCTCCTGAGTCTGATGAAGACATTCCAGCAGAAGCTGAGAAAACACAACTGGCCAAACAGAGTTGATGCAAATGCAATGGATTTGAAAAATCTCTTCTCACAAAAATAAGAGATACAAAACATTGGAATGCTGTTGAGGTTATGCACATTTTGAAAGCAGTTGGAGATGCATTCAGCAGTGGCTGCCCATCCTTATGTTATGACCATTTGAAACTTCTGGCCTCAAAATTAGGATTGCAGACAAGATTACTCAATTTAACAGGCCTTATTCAAAGATTATGCCATCTATATGAGCATCAGAATGACTTAGGCGCTGTCAAAACAGTGGAAGCCACATACAATTGATTCTGACTGACAAACCAACCTCCCCATCCTGAAGATATGTTGAGGATATACAAGTACAAGCATTCAGAGAAGATTCTGCAAGTTGCTAGAATGACTGGCTTTGACTACAGAAAATATGCATGAATTACTGGCATTTTTGGTGAGAATATTGCATCAGCATGACACAATGATGGTTCAGTCACCCTTTCTGATCTTATGGCATGGTGGAAGGAAGCAAGCCCTGACAGCTCAAGCATCATGCAAATAGTGTCTGAGGAATTCAACATGTATCTCCACCATCAAAGGCTTATGGGAGGACAAGATAACTATGGATGGTTGAGGGTAATGTATCATAGCATTGATCAGCAGCTAATGCAACAAAACCCTGTCTACTATCTCTGATATGTTCTTTTGTGACTGGATCATGCTTGGCGCATGATTTCTTACCCATACTATGTGAAATATGCCAAACTGGGGGATAAAACCTTCTTTAGACATATTGATGTCAACATTCTGGATGTGATTAAAAATGGAAGAGGGGTGAATATGATCCAAGAATCTCTGATGTTAATGAATGAAGTTCAAGGTGATTGTATGCAAATACCACCCAGCATGCACCATCATCTTGAAGAATGGTGGAAACTAGTTGAACAATGTGGATTGGGTACCAATGGGTACATACACTGAATCAAACCCACCATGTTCACTGAGGCTGATGCCAAACAGTTCAAAACAAGATGAATGGATGTCATATGCAATGCCAGTGATGTTTGCATTACCTCTCTCCTCCTGCCACATGATGCCCACAGCCCATGTAAACAACAACAACATACCATGTTGCCTTGGTATGTAGCAATTCAAGACAACCATGATAGTTTGAAAGTGCTAGAAAGCAGCACATGATCACAACTTGCAAATGCTCATTGAGATCTATCACCTGGACCAACATCTCCTTCAGGGCATTCTAATCAATACTCAATAATTCCATATTTGTTCCCTGCCACTATCCATTTAGATGGAATGGGACATATTTTGAATGCCTTAGTTGGATGAGAAAGGTGGACAAACCTGCAGGTAATGATGGATTTAGACATTCTTTTCAGCCCCAATGAGACTGCCACCAGGCAATATATCCACAGTTGGAGACAGCATGCCCAAGCTTGGATCTCTGATCTGATTCAGAGAACCTTCCAACTGGAAAGAGAGTGCTATGGAGCAGAATCATATTGTGTGGCTAGAACCACTGGAAGACCAGCACCAGAACTGCACAACCTTCTTTGCTTGTTGTCTGTACCAGAGGACAATAACACTGGAGACCATTATTAAATGGTGCCATTCATTCATTTCTATTCTCCTTTTCCTATGTTATTGCTATTCCATCACGCCACCACCACCCCTACTGAAGCATGTATATTATGAGAGAGTGCCTTCCCACAATTTGCTGGGACAGGATAAATGAATGACCCATGCCACACTAAGCCCCTTTAGGCAAAATATCATTGGTTAAATGGATGACTCATGTAAGAAGCTAAGCCTATTTAGAACAATTTCTTGAATAAATGAACAATCTAGCTTACTAAGCATCCATACAGCCACAGAACACCTCTGGCACCTCTGACCACAAAGCTCCTACAAGCTCCTACAAGCCAAATCATTCAAATCTGCAATAAAAATCTCAACCAGACTGTGGTTTGATTTTCTAGTTAGGACCAGCCTGCTTGCTTACAACTTAAAGATATGAAAGATGGCACCTCCTGGCAGCTCTTCTGTTTCTAAATCCTTTCTAGAATTCTGCCAGCCATGACCTCTTCCATGACTCCTTTCACAACCCCTTCCATGACCCCTTCCACAACCCTGGCCATTTAGACAATTAAAACCTCATTCAACAATGCTGACCTGCTTCTGGCAACATTCAAACATCAGCCAAAAAGTCTTGTTAACTGAAACAAGTTATTAGTTCAGCATAAGACACAAAGAAAACCACAAGAGCTCAGAATTGTTTTCATCAGAAATTCTTTAAGCTCTTCTGAAGCAGAGAGCTGTGTTAGCTTCAGCAGTTGAAAATGAAGGTGAGATGAAACAGACTCCCCTGCTTCCTCACTCCTAAACCACTGTGGTCTTTCTGATTTTTTCTTGATTCATAACACCCCCAAGCTCAAAGATATGAAAGACAGCACCCCCTGGCAGCTCTTTCATTTCTAAATCCTCTCTAGAATCCCACTGGCCACAACTCCTTCCATGGCCCCTTCCACAACCCCAGCCATTTAGACAATTAAAACCTCATTCAACAACACTGACCTGCTTCTGGCAACATTCAAACATCAGCCAAAAATGACTTTTTCTTGGTTCATAATACCCCCAAGAAAGTTGCGGGAATGTATGCAAAAGTCAAGGGTGTGAAGTGAAGTGCAACTAAATTCAATCACAGAGTTTGAATCTTTCAGCCACTGTGGAAGTCACATCAAACACCCTTAGATTTGCAAAATCTCTATGCAAAAAAAGTCACCTCAATTGATGGACCTCCAGTCCATATTATGTTTAATGGCAATTCCCACATTATGGACTTTAATTTTGAATAGGCTGGGTCAGTGGAACTGGGATCCTGAATCCAATTCCAGTTTTCCTGTCCCATTTCCCTCCTGTGGGACATACCAGCCAGGATGGGATGGGATGGAACATGGTACAGCCTATTCAGTTTGGTACTGAGATATACACATATGGGATTGGGATCCCAATCCCATCCCACATTCATATAAAAAAGTAATGAATTTTGGTAATGGTCTTAGCATATTTCAGCAATTTTAACACTGCTATACCCACATCACCCATCTTATATACTAGTGGCAGGATCCCGATCCCAACCCGGTCCCATCCCTACCATGGAATGCATGGGATTTGGTACACAATTCTTATTGTGGGATGGTGTCAGCCAGGATTACTATCAAATTAGTATGGGATCCCAGTTCCATTATCCCATCAGGATGGGATATGGGACCAATATGGCTGCCACCAGGATCAAACTCCAAGCCAAATTTGGGGCTGGGATCAACACACATGGGATTTGGGATCCTGTCCCAGTCCCAAGCACCACTCTAATTTTGAATTTATAAGCAATTACAAGATGCAGGAAGATGTTTATCCCATCAATTCCAATTTTCACACAGGCTGTGACTGTGTTGGTGCAAAGTGCAACTTAAGCAGGCGCCCATGCCTTTCACAGGAGGGAGACCCCTGGGAATGAATCATATCTTACAGAGTTGGTGACACTGGTGTCATTATTTTGCATGACAATTTCATGCAATGAAAGTCAACAATCTATGAATGCTCTTTGTTGTATAATTGTGACTGGAATTGTATGAACAGTTATGTTGAGCAAGGAAGAACTATTCACCTTGAAATATTTCAAACCTGAAATTGAGGATTTGGTAAGCACAGTTGCGGAAATGGGTACACCAACATTAATGCTAATATTACATGGCCAACTGTAGGACTAATTGTAAGAACACCACTGGCAAGAGGCAGCTGCCTAGCTGCCACCCAGCAGATAATATCTATGACAGCATTGCAGTAAGATGTTGCCACTCTGAAGATATAAGCAGGGGACCACCTTGCCCACTTGAAAGGGGGCAAGCAATTTGTTTACTATTCATTGAATACTAGGATCTAATCTACAATATATATATATATATATATATATATATATATTATTATACACATTTGGTTATACACCAATATTGCTTAATTCAATGGCAACAACCTCTACCTGGCTTCTAGCTAGCCACTAGCTACCAGTACTCTTGTAGTTCCATTCCAATAACAAGAAGACATCTAGTCCCTGGCAGTGGCCAAGCTAGTCATTACAGTTTTGAATCACTTCCTTTAAGAAACTAAAGAGAGTGTGCTGTCTAATCATCTTCTCTGTGAGATCTCAGCAGGTTTGCCACAAACTTTTGGATCCACTATAAAAGAGAATGAACAGAATACCCCTCAGAGCTGATGAGAATCTGCAGTCAGATTCTCAGAGTTCTCTCCAGCTATCTCACAGTCAAGTCACAGAGACATGAAAGATAGGAACCCTCCTGCAACAGGAACCATGTATACAATGGCCTCAGATCAGTTTAACACTCTTCTTCAACAAATATCAACACAACAGGAACAAGCAGCTGCTACCTTGCCACAAGTTGTCTATAAGCAAGAAGGTAAACAGTTCCCGGAGCCAGACTTGTATAAGGGATGGAATTGGAAGAAATACTGGGAATTTATTCAAGCATGTGAGAGTTATCTCAAGGCAAAAAGCAGGATCTATGCTGCTGAGAAGGAAAAGATCAAATATGTAGCAGCTAGGTTGTGGGACAATCTCCAAGCCTCATGGGATTTGGAAAGGGAGCATATTGATTGGAATGCATTCACCTTCAATGGTCTTAAAACAAAACCATTGGACTGGATTGAAGCTCCAGAGAATTGCAGGTGTACAGCAGCAAGAAGGATGACAGCTCTACACTTTTGAGCAGGACAATCCATCCCTGATTTTGAATGAGAATTTATGGAACATTGGCATGATTTTGAGACAACCCCCATAGAATGTCAACATCAGCAATTGTGAGTCTCTCAAGCTTTAATTAAATTGCCTATCTGAATCCAATATAAAATCCAAGAACAAGAAGTGCCAGATACTCTTCAGAAATTGTTCTCTATGACTGCTTGTTATGAGAAAGCTGCTGGGTATTGGGAAACTAGCTGCATCAACTCTTGAGACTCTCACAACATGAGAAGAAGAGAATTTTGTGACAAGAATAAGAAAAGAAAGCCAACAGATGAACACTCCTGAGGGCATTCAGCTAAGAAGCAGCAATTTACCCACCCCTATACTTGTCCCAAGCAGAAAGAACAACAAAAGCAAGAAGAACATTGTTTCAATTGTAACCAGCAAGATCATATGGTGAATGCCTGTCCCAAATGGAAGACCAGTGATCAAACAGTTAAGAAGCAGTGATCTTTCCATGGGAAGACCAATCCTCCACCCAGTGTTAATTATATCCCTGAAGAAGTTTGAGAAATGGAAGAATTGCAGGAAGAACCTATGGAGCTGGAGAGTAAACCTATGTCAGCAGAGAGCTCACAGGAATATAGCAGCAAATGACTAGCTGGATGCTGTTCAGAATGTAAACTGATTGTTGCTACCATAAAATCAGAAAAATATCTCTTATTAAACTGTGTTCTCATTAATTCAGGCAATTTTGTTGAGTGCATTGCATATAGGAAGCTGCTACAAAGCAGCTGGGAACCCCCAAAATCACTGCAAAAAATTGAAATTAGCTGACAGATCAAATGCTGTTTGTTATGGAGAAATTGCTCTTACCTGCAAGCTTAAAGATTTGGAAGGAATGGAGAAGATGATTAATCAAATGTTCAAAGTTATGAATTTTTCAACATATGATATGTTACTAGACCTACCTTGGTTAGTGGAGACAAACCTCATTATTGATTGGTTTGCTGACTCTTGGCAATATCACAGCAAGAAACCAGCCAAACTCCAAATTGAAAACCCACATCATTTTTCAAAGACCTCTTGACATGAAGTTGTTTACATGCTTTTAGCCAAACAAAAATCTGAAAACACCATGCTCAGCCTTCCTGAACATTATCAACAATACACAGAAGTCTTCTCAATGGAAGCAGCTAGCAAGCTGCCAGATAGCTGTGTGGAACATTCAATTAACCTACAAGAAGATCAAATGCCATCTTGGAAAAAGATTTATGTCATGTCAACAAAAGAATTGAACACCTTACAGAAATATATCAAAGATAAACAACAACAAGAATGGATTTGACCTTCCACTAGTCCTGCAGGAGCATCTATACTCTACATCAAGAAAGCCAATGGATCACTGCATCTTTGCATTGATTACAGGAGATTAAATGCAGCAACTATTAAAAATCATTACCTCCTACTCCAAATTGACAAATTACTTGATAGACTGAGTGGCACACAATGGCTAACCAAGCTGGATCTCCATGATGCATACCAACATATATGGATACATCACAGCAATGAATGGAAGACAGCTTTTCATACTCAATATGGCCATTTTGAATATACAGTCTTGTCATTTGGTCTCTGCAATGCACCAGCAACCTTTCAGGCATATATCAACAATGTTATGGGTAATCTCTTAGATGACCATGTTATTGTATACATCAACAACATACTTATTTTCTCTCAAACTGAAGAAGAGCATATTCAACACATTACCAAAGTCCTACAGCAGCTACATAGCCACAAGCTATACACTAAGTTATTGAAATGCAAATTCCATAAGAAAGAGATGAAGTTCCTTGAATATATTGTTGGACATGATGAAATTCATCTGGATGGTAGCCACTTGGAAATGGCATTCAACTGGCCAGAACCTGGCTCTATACATGATATTCAGATGTTTCTAGAATTTACTGATTTCTTTAGGTGTTTTATATTTAATTATACTGGCAGCTTTGATTTGTAGTGAGTGTATCAACTATAAATTCTTCAGGCTCTTCAGCCCAGGGACCAACAGGGCTTTTTGCAGTTGGCAGCATTTCTTTGAACACATGCATACATTTCCATCAGCAAAATGCAGCAAGTCCAAGGGGTGATG